CCCCTCACTGGTTTAAGTTGTCAAGGGGCCCCTCACCTAGGCCAAGGTGAAGGCTGCCAGACCATGACAGAACTATTTTATCTAGGATCTGGTTACCCCGCAGTCAGCGGCTCTCTTTTCAGTGCTACTCCCTGACTAAACCCATTGTCTACCCTGGGGGGGGTGACCGGGATGTTATTGCATTTTGGCATGGGAACTTCCCCACTTCATCCCCGGACCGGTTTACTATTAGTGGTTTATTGCACTCTTCTGGCTTTTTGCTTCTTCCTGTCGCTTGTTTTATCAAATTTTTATCCGAGGGGTGGGCGTGGCGAGCCCCTGGTTCCCACTATCCTCGATGGGGAGCGTTCCTTCCTATTTTTTCCACCTCAGTCTCTTGCTTCCCACTCCTCGCTGGGGGCGAGGGGAAGATTGAGAATAGGAGATAGAGGTGGTAGAGTGGTGAGGGGGTCTCCCTAGGTGGGTGGGTGCTTCCTGTTGGCCTGCTGAGTCCTCCCCATCATTTTTGCGTCTCTTCTGGGACCTTCCGGGGAGCAAGGGTATCGGGCACTCTTCGTGAGGATGGTCTTGTTGGGTGTGGTCGGTTTTCCACTCCCAATCAGAACATTAGTTTTCTTTTTATTCACCTTCCCTATGGCTTTCCTACAATTATAGGTCTATTATTTTCTGGTTGGGGGGACCGCCGTTCTTAGGGCCGCCTTGGGTCCTCTTACCCCACCCCCAATCTAGACCTCGTCAACCATCTTTTATATCTCGACCAGTCTAGCCAGTGGGGTCATATTCCTCCTATGCCCCTGTCTAGACCACGTTACCAATCCTCGTCTTCCCTCGTCTTGTCTCCTTGGCCAGGGGGCTTAACCTCATAACCTTGTCATCTAGACTGATGCCTCGTCATTACCTTTTTAATACATGACTAGGCCCGACCTGTCGGCATGGCCTCGTTCATCTGGCCTTTCCGGTTGACAGGTCTATCCGAAGGTTTGGCTTCTTCCCGGACGTATTTAAATATGCTAAGTTAATAAATAAACTTAGCATATTTGAAATACTGACTAAGGCTCCCATTCACGCTATAATTATTAAAGTCACTTAATTCCAAAACTAGTCCCACCACGTCATATATACAGCCATTGGGGACTATGGACTAGTAGAAAGCGGTGGTAGGTGCCTCCCCTGGGCAGGGCCAGATCACGGGGCGGCTAGAGTGACAACTAGACAAGATGCCCCATCCCGGTCGTCTTTCTTATCTGGTCGCCTTCGCTCTTCCAATGGCCTTTGCCAAACCGGGTCCCCTAATTACCATTGGTGGTAACTTTAAAAAAAAAGAAAAAGTTAGCCGTTAGCCGAGGGGGGACCCCCCGGGGGGGGGAGCCCGCAGATCGGCTAACTTTTTCTTTTGTTTTTTAAAGTTACCACCAATGGTAATTAGGGGACCCGGTTTGGCAAAGGCCATTGGAAGAGCGAAGGCGACCAGATAAGAAAGACGACCGGGATGGGGCATCTTGTCTAGTTGTCACTCTAGCCGCCCCGTGATCTGGCCCTGCCCAGGGGAGGCACCTACCACCGCTTTCTACTAGTCCATAGTCCCCAATGGCTGTATATATGACGTGGTGGGACTAGTTTTGGAATTAAGTGACTTTAATAATTATAGCGTGAATGGGAGCCTTAGTCAGTATTTCAAATATGCTAAGTTTATTTATTAACTTAGCATATTTAAATACGTCCGGGAAGGAAGCCAAACCTTCGGATAGACCTGTCAACCGGAAAGGCCAGATGAACGAGGCCATGCCGACAGGTCGGGCCTAGTCATGTATTAAAAAGGTAATGACGAGGCATCTAGGTCTAGATGACAAGGTTATGAGGTTAAGCCCCCCCCCTGGCCAAGGAGACAAGACGAGGGAAGACGAGGATTGGCCTAACGTGGTCTAGACAGGGGCATAGGAGGCAATATGACCCCACTGGCTAGACTGGTCGAGATATAAAAGATGGTTGACGAGGTCTAGATTGGGGGTGGGGTAAGAGGTCACTCCAATTGGCCGGCCCCTAGCCACGAACGGCGGTTCTCCCCCCTAACCAGTAAAATAATAGACCTATAATTGTAGGAATAGCCTATAGGGAAGGTGAATAAAAAAGAAAAACTAATGTTCTGATTGGGAGTTGGTTAATAACTCGACCATCTAGCTTCTCAACTTAAGACCCTTATCTCTTTCACTGATATTGAGTGCCTCGCGTTAACTTTACCCTTGTCTCCCCGTGACAGGTCCCAGATCAGGTATTGTTTACCTGTCAATAAATGGACCTCGGGGGCTCGGTATAATTGGTAACTTCTATGTCTAGTTGCCATATCTATGGTCAAGTCTGACCCATCCTCACTCTAGGTGAGGACCCCCTCAACCACTCTACCACCTGCTATCTCCTATTCTTCAATCTTCCCCTCGCCCCCCGCAGCCCCCTGGGGAGTGGGATTAGTCAAGCACGACTGAGGTGGCAATAATAACTAGCGAAGGATATGCCTCTGTCAGTCCCCCCCCCATCGAGGGATAGTGGGATTACTCAGGGGCTCGCCACGCCGGCCAGCCCCCCTCGGATAAAAATTTGATAAAACAAGCTTGACAGCGAAGATAGCCAATAATAGCCTAGCCAAGCGGGTGCTAGGTAAACCTACTAATAGTAAACCGGTCCGGGGATGAAGTGGGGATAGTTCCCATGCCATTAGAATGCAATAACGTCCCCGGTCACCCCTCCCCAGGGTAGACAATGGGTTTAGTCAGGGGGGTAGGCACTGAAAAGAGAGCCGCTGATCTGCGGGGGGTAAGCCAGATCCTAGATAAAATAGTTCTGTCATGGTCTGGCAGCCTTCACCTTGGCCTAGGTGAGGGGCCCCCTTGACAACTTAAACCAGTGAGGGGGAATAAGAAGTAGTAAAAAGGGGAGGAAGCCAGACACTTGACTGATAATTGGTCTAAAATATGTTAACTTTAAGTATAATAATATTAATAACAAGTTTAGGGAGATGAATAAATATAAATAGAATGACGATGATAGTATTTATATATTCAGGAATTTTAAGTATAAATATGACGGGGGAGAGCAATAGCGCCATAGGGTGTTCCGATATGGGGATGATAAATTCAGGGATAGGGCTATATAATGGATTATATCAAGTGACACCAATAACTCAATTCATAGAAACTTATATAAATATATTAGCGGTAGGCTGTATGGCGATGAAGGCTAGGAGTGAATATAGTATATTAGCCTTAATAGTGACGGTAGGGATGAGTAGTTTAATAAGTAGTAATGAGATAGTTAGTATATTAATAGGGATAGAGTTACAGACATTAGGATTATATGTCATAGCCAGTCTAGATAGAGGTTCAGAGACCTCGACGGCAGCGGGGTTAAAATATTATTTATTAGGGGGTTTATCGTCATGTATAATAGGTTTAGGTTTGAGTATGATATATGGGATAACAGGGGTGACAAATATAGAGGAGTTAAATATATTAATAAAAATAAATGACGACAGCCGTCATCTAATAATGACGAAGGTATTAATTACAGTAGGATTATTATTTAAAATAGGAGCAGCTCCCTTTCATAATTGGTTAGCGGATGTAATAGATGGAGTACCGACTGCGATATCGGCATGGTTAGCGGTGGTATCAAAGATATCAATAATAATAATATTATTAATATTATATAATGCTATATTAATAAAAATAAACACCAGTGGTGGTGGTCCGATAATAATATTAAGTATAATATTATGCTTTATAGTAGGAAGTTTAGTAGGGATAATACAATCTAGGATAAAAACATTATTAGCTTATAGTAGTATAGCCCATGCGGGGTATATATTAATAGGGATAATAGTAAATAATAATCTAGGATTAACAGGTTTAATATTTTATATGGTACAATATTCTTTAACGGCATTAAATATATTTATGATAATAATAGCCTATGGTGAGGTAAAAGGGGCATCGATAGTAAAAATATCACAATTAAAAGAAATCCCTAACACGTGATTAGCGATAAGTTTAGCGATAAGTTTATTTTCATCTGCAGGGATTCCACCGTTTATAGGATTTTATGCCAAACTTAATATATTATACTCGGCTCTAGATACAGGTTTTTACTTCATAACAATAATCGCCATACTAACCAGTATAATAAGTGGTTATTATTATATAAAAGTAATAAAAGTAATATATTTTGAGGGGGAGTGATGTAGGGTTGGAACCGCCAATGAAGTACGGGGGGCGATATCAGAAAATTATTCAATAATAATAGCCATGATAAGTTTAGTGATAATATTATTCATCCTCAGTCCCGAGTGACTATATAATAGTATTCAGATGATATGCTAGCGGGGTAGAGGTAAAAATGACCAGTTAGAGCGGGGGGGAACCCGGCAAACTAGTAGATTCCGGGGTAACACCCATCTATCACAACTTAATAACATTATGAAACGAGAGAGGGTGAATGAAACCCTAATTCACTGAATAACTTCCAGAATTTATAGAGTCAGGGGGCCTACCATGATATTAGGACTGGCGGATCGGCACGCTCCAGCCCCATAATATACAATGCACAATAGTTTATTAATAAGGGCATTTCGAGTGGTGGGACTTCAATATTGATATGAATTGGTAGGAGCTTAGCCGCTAGCGTAACCAGTAGCGATATTGGCTCTATATCTATTCAGCGAATGAATTAGCCCCCCCCTCACGATATGTTCAGATCGTGAGGGGGGGGGCGAGGCGAGGGATAAGGGACAGGGTTAGGGTATCCTAATACCAGTCAAGAGAACCGGGGACAATAAGCCTAGCATATTAACCACTGCAGAGATGGCTAATATATTATAAACCCGAGGCTGTGCCGGGTCCAAGCTAAATGGCGCGGAGGGGTGGAAGAGGCGGATATGATGAAATAGGTAAACATGACATATTTAGGATATGTTGGGAAACTTTGTAGGTTCGAGTCCTGCTATCCGTAAGAGGTTAATAGTTCAATGGTAAAATAATGATCTTCAAAATCAAAGTTTTAGGTTCGAGTCCTAATTAACCTGGCGTACATAAAACGACACGCGGGGTAAAAACGACAGGGGGATCAGCCTAACAAAAATGTTAGAGTCTGCCAAAATTATAGGATCAGGAATAGCAACGATAGGTTTAGCCGGTGCGGGTGTGGGTATAGGTTTAGTGTTTGCCGCTCTAATAAATTCAACATCTAGAAATCCTTCATTAAAAGGACAATTATTCAGTTATTGTATTTTAGGTTTTGCTTTAACTGAAGCTATAGGCCTTTTTGCAATAATGATGTCATTCTTATTATTATATGCCGCTTAATAGGAGACGGTAGAGATGAGACGATATAAGGGGCTAGCCTGCTTAATAGGATAACGATCTGGCAGTCCTCTACCCCCCTCAAGGGGGGACCCTTCGTCTCGGGAGAGGGGGGCTAGGGCCTATCGCCATGCCAAGGCGGGTGGTAGAGGGGTGGAAATTCGGAGGTGAATGAAGCACCGCGCCTAGCGGCGAGGAGGCTAGAGGAGGGTGCCGAGGGGAAAAGGCACTGGCTAGTACCTAGGTACCGTTCCGTATCGTATCCTCGCTTTGCTTGCCCCCCTCGCCCTCCTCGTCCCGCTCGCGTTCCTTGCCTCGCCTTGTCTCGCCTCGCCTTGCCCGCCCCGCCCCGCCCCGCCCCGCCCCGCCCCGCCCCGCCCCGCCCCGCCCCCCCCGCCCGCCCCCCGCCCGCCCCCCGGGCTCCCGGCCTGGCTAGGAGGGCCTCTAACCTAGAGGGGGAGGGCGAGGAGTGAAAGGAGACGGTAGAGGGCGATGAAAGAGGGAGTTGAAGAGTAAAAACTCACATGCCACAATTAATACCCTTGCACTATGTTAATCAAGTAACTTATCTTTTTATAGTATTGATATTACTTTTAATCATTACCTCAAAACTAATATTACCACTTTTCCCACGAAGGGTGGAGATGATTGAAACTTTAATGAATAGAAGATAAGGATCGTCGTACCTGGCGTGAGGTTTATGAAACAATCAAAAGAATAGGGGCGATGATAGCTAATAATAAAATAAGGCTAGATAAAAGAAACCAAAGTGAGAAACTAGTAAAAAGGGGGTAAGCAAAAGAAGTTAAATGATGTGAGTTGTTAAATAGCGAGGTTCAAGAGGAAAGAGTGAGGGGCGAGAAAAAGAAAAAGGTAAAAGCATCTGCGAAGTAAGCCCGGGCTGGGGAGCTATACAAGTAAAAAACCGTAATAGCAGTAGCAACTGGCAATAAACTAGGGAAAACCTGATGGGGGAACAATTTGAGATAAATCATCATGACAACGAACAGGAATAAAATAGCGATGGCCCCGACATAAATTAGTAGATAAGTTAAACCAAGGAAACCGATACCTAACAATATTAAATAAGAGGAAGAAAAACAAAATAAAGAGATAAGACCTAGAACTGCGTAAACGGGGTTAGAGCAAGAGATAGTAAGGAAAGTGGCGAGGATGCTCAAGATCATAAAAAAATTCGTCATGGCATAGGGAAAATTAGTCAATGAAACAAATAACCAACAGGAAACCCGGGGGGATCGGCAAATATAATTTAAAGGTAGAATAACAGTATGTGAAATTGAAAGAATAGGTTCAAATCCTATTATTTGCCAGACTAGATAACATACAAGGGAATGTATTAGATTGCAAATCTAAAAAGGAGTGTTCGACTCACTCTCTAGTCTGCGAATTGAGATCGGTGGTAGATTATCTGCCTTCCAAGCAGTATGGTATGGGTTCGAATCCCATAATTCGCTCTCGCGATCGCCAAAGGCGGTATAGTTTAAAGTAAAACACTCATTTCATAAGTGAGAGATAAGAGTTCAAAGACTTTACCGCTAACTCGTTTAGCTAAATTAGGATAAAGCTTTAACCTTCTAAGTTAAAGATTATAGGTTCAAATCCTATAACGAGTAGGATTTGTAGCTTAAAGAAAGTGTTTCCTTGTCGAGGAAAAGGTTGCCGTTTCGAAGACGGTCAAATCCGGGAAACTCCGAGTGACACCGGCAGAGAAAGAATTAGATCAAAGGCAGAGAAAGAAGTGGATGTAAAAACCAACTCCATCAGGGGAAAAAGGCTTAAAAAACAGTATTCGGGTTAACGACCTTGGATGTAGCCAAACAGGTTAAGGCATCATAGTTTGAGTATGACAATGTAGGTTCAAGTCCTGCCGTCCAATGCTTTGGTAACTCAAAGGTAGAGTAACAAATTGAAAATTTGTCAGTATTGGTTCAATTCCAATCCAAGGCGGGCCGAATTAGCTTAATGGCAAAGCCTACGTTTTGTAAACGTAAAAATAAGTGTTCGACTCATTTATTCGGCAGTCTGGGTTAGGCGCGGGGTCAGGACTAGGAAGAAGAATTGAAGTGTAACCCTCAGGCAATGATCGAGATACTCTCATTAATAATTCCTTTATTAGTTTCAATAGCTTATTTAACTTTAGCGGAAAGAAAACTCATGGGTTCAATGCAAAGACGATTAGGTCCAAATAAGGTAGGGATACTAGGTCTATTACAGCCATTTGCCGATGGTTTAAAATTAGTGATAAAAGAAACGATTATCGTATCACAAGCTAATAAAATAATCTTTTTCTTGGCTCCCTATATAACATTGGTATTTGGTTTCTTGGCTTGAGGTGTCATTCCATTTACTAGAGGGATAATAATAGAGGATATAGGTTATAGTACATTATATATATTATTGATAACGGGGATAGGGGTATTAGGGATAATATTAGCAGGTTGGTCAGCTAATTCGTTTAGGATTAAATAAAATAAACAATATGCTAAGAAAATAGAAAAAGAATTAGCAGGCAAGAGATTCCTCAATGATCAGACGTTTATGAAATAAGCTTATTTAAGGATCTCAATTATACAAGGAGAATAGAATTGGCTAAACTAACTCGACCTTTATTAGGAATAAGTTTTATTATATATTCAGACTATAACTCAGATATGAACGGTTCAGGAATTAATATATAGTTTTTCAATATTAACTAGGAAGTCACGGGGGGTAGTCATATTAAGTATAAATTGAGACCATATATGAGTTATTCAAGAAATGATCTCGTGATTAATTAAAGATGTAATCTTATGGATTAACAGGGCTAAATATGCAGTATTAGGGTCGTTAAGGACCACCGCCCAGTTAATATCTTACGAGGTAGTAATAGGCTTAATGGTAATAATGGTGGTGATGCTAAGTGATGGGTTGAGTTTAATATCAATCATAGAAGCACAAAAACATATCTGGAATATAATACCAGTATGGCCTATATATATCATATTCATGATATCAGCGATAGCAGAAACAAATCGAGCCCCGATGGACTTACCTGAAGCTGAATCAGAGTTAGTGGCAGGTTTTCAAACCGAGCACTCAGCCTTATCTTTTGCTTATTTCTTTTTAGGTGAGTATGGGAATATAATATTAATTTGTACCATCACGGCCAATTTCTTTTGGGGGGGTTATAGTATAGGCGGAATTAATTCGGCTTTAATATTAGGCTTAAAAGTATCGATGCTTTTATTTGTCTTCATCCTCTGCAGGGCTACTTATCCTAGGCTCAGATTTGACCAATTAATGAGTTTAATGTGAACAGGATTATTGCCACTAGTACTAGGGTATTTTGTATTAATCTCTAGTATAATGGTTATTATTACCAACTGGTAGGCGAGCCTACGGACGGTAGACCCCCCTCACCTTCCCGGAGGCTCGACAGAGCCTTCCGGGAGGTGAGGGGGGGAGGTGGCCCCCCCCGGCGGGACGGATCGGGAGCCCGGTCCAGGTCACCGGGGGAGAGTTTAGTGGTTAACGCTGACCTAACATAAGATCAAGATCTTCACCTTGGTAAGGGGGGCAGGGTGATAGGTTAGGGGGACAAAGTAAATTCCCCTCCTCGTCCAGGTCCCCCCGCAGGGGACACCCCCCGCCCTGGAGAACTCGGTAGAGTACGCCCCTACGTTCTTAACTTAAAGGATAAAGTGTTTACCTTCGAAGTAAAACATAATCGTTCGACTCGATTAGAACGTATCCGCCGCGTGACCCGATCCGGGACCGTCTCGCCTCCCCTCCCTGGGGTGCCCCGCCTCCCTTAGTCCAGGGTTATAACTTAATGGCAAAGTGCTTGGCCGATAACCAAGCGAAAATGGTTCGATTCCATTTAATCCTAGTGGTTGCTCTACCGTCCCAACCCTCAATTAGCACTCTATCAACCTCCCCGGTCTCGAGTTCAACCACCAATGCAAGGGGGTAAAAAACATGTCATCCAGTCCGGAACCAGGCCTCTTGTCACCCCCCCTAGGAGGTTAGGGGCGGAGTTAATTGGCCTTAAGGATACGGCTGCCTCCGTCGAAGACTCTTTGGGTTGGTTTGTAGGCAGCAACTTGACTATCAGAGGTATAAGTACAAAAATAGAGGCAGGCGGTTTAAAATTAAGTGAGAAATATCCAAGGAAACTCCATAAAAATAAATACATACAAAATGTTAGTGATATTTATCTGGGCTTTAAATTAGGTTGAGCGACGCATACCTTACCCTCGCATCGCGCCCTCACGATATGAACATATCGTGAGGGGGGGGGGCGAGGAGTGGATAAATGAAATAATAGTCTATGGGCTCGAGTATTTAGATTCTTAGGTGGGGTATCAATAATCACTTGTACAGGTAGGGGTTTTATCCCTTCAAATATGATAATCTGGGTAATACCGAGGGCGATTTTATTTATTACCTACTTAACATACATATTAAAAGATTTATATACATTAGAAAATTATTAAAAAGTGGTCAAATTATAAAAATTCACCGGTTAATAAATTAATAACCATTTCAATTAAAGGGGTAATTTGTTTAAGAGGTCTGTGCGACAAAGGATTGTATTTTGGTTCTGGGCTGGGGCTAGGCTTAGGGGTGATCAAATTCTTACCAGCCAAAATCGTCGTCCAATATTTACTCCCCTAGCTGGTCGTATTTTAGACTCTACTTTAAACGGCTTAGGTTTCCCCCTAATTTGGACCCTCAAATAATAGAATTGAAAGATAAGGTGGCCGAATTAGCGGCGAACCGGCAGAAAAAAGTTGGAGTCTATAATTTCAGACATATATGAGATGAAGGGTACTAGTGATAACGAATTTACACTAGCTGAACGATTTGGAGGGTAAATTAATCAAGTTAACTTTGGAAACAGAGAAAATAGAAAAAGATATTCTCATTAGGACGAGGCACGAGGTTTAAATAAATAATCTAGACCACCCGCACCGGGAATTGAATAAGTATAATAATGCATCAAACGCACACGTCGGGTCTTAGATCCCAAGGGGTTGGTGGGAAAAGGTAAGGGGGATTATCAACCGGAACCACCCTTCGATTAAGTTACATTGGGATAATAGCTTAATTGGTAAAGCATACCGCTCATAACGGTAAAAATATTGGTTCAATTCCAGTTTATCCTAGGTTTAATCCCCGGTAAGGAGTCAGATGAAAAGGTAGTGGGTAGCCCACTAGTTTTATATGCCAGAAGAAACGACCTCCCCCTGCCGGTATCACCGCCCCCTCGCCAGCCCCCCCACCCGGCGGCATTAGTATTTAAATATGCTATTTAAGATTAAATAAAATCTTAATCATATTTGAAATACTAGCTAAGGCGCCCATTATTGACTACTCAGAAGTTTTATAATTTCACCCTGCTTAGACCCAAACCCAGGGCCCCAACCCATATAAGTTGAACGAAGTACGCCTGGAGGTACTAGCCAAACAAGAAGAAAAACCTCTCGCCTCGCCTCGCCCGGCCGCCCCCTCCCCCCATCTTCCTTTCTCACTGTCGCTCTCGCTCTCCCAATGGCCTGGCCCCGGTCGCACCTTTTTGATGAAGCCAGGGATAAAAACCGTTGGGGGGGTATGGAGAGGGGGTATCTTTTATACACCTTATACTGGGGGGGGGGGGGATACCAGGGGGGCCGGGAAGAGACTTATCACGAAACAATATAATTAGCAAAGTGGGAATAGTCAGGGGTTCGGATCCCAAGCCATGACGGGAGGTAAAATAAATTTATCACGGTAGAGATAGGTTAAATCATCTAGCCGCCATGGGTGCCAAATAATCCGCCATGCTCGGCCTCCCCCTAAATGATGGATAGAGAATAATATCGTGATCATGCTGACAAGCTATCATTTAACATAACGTGACTTCGGTCTCATGCGAGAGATATCAATCTATTTTCTAACTCAATATCAATTAGTTTGGTAGTAACTATTTCTCTATCGTGTAGTTCTCAATAAATCCTCGATATGCCGATTAACTACTTTATCTTCTAACTTATATTCAGTATAAAAATTAGTCCTGTGGGGTTCAATGGGGACCACCAAACCCCTTGCCATGGTCCACCGGTAGAGTGGAGGGGGATAGGATGGCTTGTCTAATAAGGTAGACGATATGTACATATTACCTATAAGTAGCTTCTTCTCACTACGTCTTCAATTAGCCGGCCTCCCCTCTCCCGAGGCGAGAGAGCAACTAGGGCAATAAACCTAGTAGTGGTAGCCCATCCTGGGAACCGGTTGACTGGGATAGCAGGAGCTTTTTAGTAAGCGAAAGGTAAACCGCTATAGGATAGGGGGGACGGCGAGAAGGGAGAGGTCCTAGTAAAAGATGTGCTAGGCAAGGTAACTAGCTCCCTATAAGGGAAGGATCAGAGCCAGGTGGTAGAGAGACTAAGGGGGAGACTCTCGGCCGGGGGGTGGGGTGAAAGTTGTATGTATCATACCCCAAGAAGGGGAAGGAAAAAAAGGTTAAAAGAAAGTTTGAGGTATAAAAATGTATTTAACATGGGTAATAAACATCCCTTAAGTTTAAAATTAAAAACAAATCTCCTATGAACGAGTATAGTATTTAAATATAATAACCCCAACCGAGCAATATATGTAGAGAAAAAAATAGAGGAAGTAATATTACAATTACCAAGTAGTTTAAAATTATCTAAACCAAGATATGAATATACAAGTGACGGGGGAATAAACGTAATATTATATACAAAGAAAATACTGTTTAGCCATAGAATGAAAGGATACTTGAGATTGATAGAGAGTGGTTTGAGTAGATGGGCAAAAGGTAGAAGCATAAGGTTAAACCTAGAAGAAATGAAGGGGGGGATAAAGAATAGTAAGTTAACGGCCCAATTAATTCAAAAGTGATCAAGAGGAAGAAGTATAAGGAGGATCCGAATAGGGATAAGTAGGTTAATAAAAATATATAGAATGGACTATGAGTTTTGTGGGGAGGGGAATTTGGTAGGAAATAAATGGACGTTTATAAAAAAGGAAGCGATCGACAAAATATGTTGGTTAATAAAAGGGATAAATGTGGAAATAAAAGGTAAATTTAATAAAAAAAGGAGGGTAAGAAGGAGTAAAATAAAGAGAATAAAATATGGAAGGATAGAATATAATAGGTATAGAAGTATAGTAGACTATTATCAAATAAAAACGAATGGAATTAATGGGGTATACAATATAAAGGTAGCGATTAGTACTGGTAAGATAGGGGATCTAGCTTAATTGGCAAAGCTATCGAATTGCAGTCGATAAGAATAGAGTTCGAATCTCTTAATCTCCAGGATAGATGACAGAGTCAGGTTTAATGTGATGCATTTGAAATGCATAGAGAGGTAAAAATCTCCTAGGGTTCGAATCCCTATCTATCCTGGTGGCACGGATTGTGGTCAAAAGGCTAGACACCTTATTTGGGATAAGGAGAATACGAGTTCGACTCTCGTCAATCCGAGAACCTACTTGGAGAAATAGGTAAACTCGAAGAATTTAAAATTCTTTGCCTAAGGCTTGAGGGTTCGACCCCCTCAGTAGGTAGTAAATATAGCTTAATTGCTTAAAGCATTAGACTTTTAATCTAAAAGATTTGGGTTGGAGTCCCAATATTTACAAAAAACCCCGAAACAGCGGGAGCGCCTAGGGATGCAGGGGCGAATTGGAGGCGGGCTAGTGAAGTTGGGGGGGGGGGGGGCGAGGAGTGGGCTAGGAATAAGATCCCAGATCGGTAGAGGGACGGGATGAACTTGGGTCCGGCTCAGCATCGCCGCGAGGGTGACTAGCCAGACCTCCCCCGGTCGGGAAGCAACCCCTAGCCTAAAGCAGCTAACAGCCTAGGGGGTTGACCTTGGTCAAGGCTAGGAGGCGATAGAGGTAGAAGTGAACTGGGATGTTAAGTATAATAGCAATAATACCCTTGATAGGTTTATGAATAATAATGATGAGCAGAGATGAAAAACAGTATAAAATTATTGGATTAGTAACATCATTACTAAACTTAGTAATATATCCAATAATATGGGCGCAACACAATTCAAATAATAATTACTTTCAGATTATAGAGAAAACGTCTTCACCCCTTGACACTTATTATCCAGAAATAATCGGGGTAGATAGTATATCATTATATATGATAGGGATAACAATAATATTAATACCAATATGTATATTATCAACGTGATCGAGTGTGAAAAAGGAAGTAAAGTTATATATAGGATTATGATTAGTATTAGAAACCGTCTTAATATTAGTATTTCTATGAATAGACATACTATTATTTTATATAACCTTTGAAACAAGTTTAATACCAATGTATTTAATAATAGGGATATATGGGGGTAAAAAAAGGAAGATATATGCAGCATACCAATTTTTCTTAATAACATTATTAGGCTCATTATTGATGTTAATGGGGATAATAATGTTATATTCACAAATAGGGGTAACAGATTATCAAATATACACATTAACAGTGGAGCTAACAAAAGAAAGAGAAAAAATAATATGGTTAGCTTTATTTATATCATTTGCGGTGAAAACACCATTAGTACCGGTTCATATTTGGTTACCTGAAGCTCATAGTGAAGCAAATATAGCCGGTTCAATAATATTAGCGGGTGTATTATTAAAATTAGCCGGCTATGGCTTTCTGAGATATTCACTGAATATATTACCTGAGGCATCAAGATATTATATTCCCTTAGTATATGGTTTATCTATAATAAGTATCATTTATTGTAGTTTAACCACATTAAGACAAATAGATATGAAAAAAATCATAGCATATTCATCCATAGGTCAAAATGGCCCTTTAAATAATTATTATTTAACGCAACAAACTATATGCAGGAAATTTAAAGAAGGGAAAGATTCGTTATTACAGAATACTAAGAATGTAAGTAATCAAAGATTAAAAAGAGATTCCTTTTTAGTAAGAATTTTTGTAATATTATTAAACAATCCGCAGATAACCAAAGCACAAAAATGAATGAGATCTTTAAGATCAATAGAATTTTTACCTTATAAAGGGTTTAGCATGCAAGTAGGAATCTCAGAGGCCATACGTTTGTTATCTACTTTACTAATAAAAGTATTGACGTTTGAACCCTATGGGTTAAAAGAAAATAGCTTACACATGTATTCAACTTCAACTAAAGATAGAAAAAAAGCCGAAAAAAGATTTAATGAATGGTTAGCAGGGTTAATAGATGGTGAGGGGAATTTTTATCTGTCTAAACTAGGGGGTTCTACAGGGTTAGAAATAACCATGGATTTGAGAGATGAACATTGTTTATATATAATAAAACAAAAATATGGAGGATCAGTCAAACTAAGGTCAGGGGTAAAAGCGGTAAGATATAGATTATTTCATAAAGCAGGATTATTAGCCTTAATAGAGGATGTAAATGGATTAATAAGGAATCCAATCAGGATAGAACAATTAAAGAAAATCTGTGAAAAATATGAGATAATAGTAAAACAACCTAAACCTTTGGAATATGAAAATGGTTGGCTGGCAGGATTTTTTGATTCAGATGGAAGTATATCAATAAATAAAATAAATAATGTAATAATTATAGCCTTCTCTCAAAAAGATAGAATATTACTAGAACCATTAGTAGAATTATATGGAGGAAAAATCTATATACATAATAAAAACCAAACAGCATTTAAATGGACGATATGAAGGAAAGAAGAAATAAATTCTTTAAATAAAAATTATTTTCATTTAAACCCTTCAAGATCAAAAAAATCAATAAGATTAAATTTAATAGATAAATATAATGAATTAAAGGTTTTAAAATGTCATTTAGCAGAAAAAGAATCTATATTAGGTAAGGCCTGGCAAAGGTTTCAAGAGAAATGGAATGAAGGGTTCAAAGAAAGTAGATAAAGAGATGGTCCAACCAAAAAAGGTAGCATATGGGGATAGTAATATTAGGTATATTTTCCAATACGATGGAGGGGCTAGAGGGGTCGATGATATTAATGATAGGTCATGGATTGGTATCACCGGGGTTATTTATAATAGTAACGATATTATATGAAAGATATCATAGTCGAATAATAAAATATTATAGGGGGGTGACGTCGACAAGTCCATTAATAGCGATATTATTTATAATATATACCTTAGCCAATATGGGTGTACCTTTATCGAGTAATTTTATAGGGGAAATATTATGTTTAATGGGTGCTTGGGAAACCAATCCGATATCGACGATAATAGCGTCAACCGGGTTAATATTAGGGGGGCTTATAGTATATGGTTTTATAATAGAATAAGCTTTGGGGAACCCTCAATATATTATAGGGAGCTAGATATAAACCGAAGGGAGTTTGAAGAACTATTACCTCTATTAATATTGATAATAATCATAGGTGTGTTTCCGAATCTGATATTAGACACTTTACATACAGCGGTGAGTAATATATTTTGGGCCGCCGGGTAGCTCTGCCTGTAGGGGGGGGCGGCAGAGTAAAAAAAGAAAACCCGAGATGTATCTGGGAATTATCACCCTCCCGCTAATAACCGGTTTAATATGTGGTTTATTTGGGAGAAATCTAGGTAACCAGGGAACAAAACTATTAGGGACTCATTCGATAGTAATAGGGACATTAATAAGCATAACTCTATATTATGAGATAGCGATTTCAGAATCACCATTAAGTATATATTTACTAGATTGGGTAGATACAGAGTATCTGGGTTTAAGCTGGGGATTTAAACTAGATAGTTTAAGTATAAGTATATATATACCGGTATTAATAGTATCAAGTTGTGTGCATATATATTCGAGGATATATATGAGTGAGGATGGGCATAATGCAAGATTTTATAGTTATTTATCTTTGTTTACATTTTTCATGATAGTGTTAATAAGTGGTGATAATCTACTTTTAATTTTCATAGGTTGGGAAGGTGAACATAATTGCCTTAAATGGTGTAATATAGAAAATAATATATATTTGTATAGTCAATTACCTATAATAGGTAATTGACTATAGATAAAAATATTAATTATTCTCATATAACTCCTTTTAAAATAGGTCCTCATAATATTGATGTAATTTCAATAATTATAGGTTCAGTTTTAGGTGATTCCCATTTAGAAAAACGATGAAATGGAATTGGAACTAGATTAAAATTTGTACAAAGTCATAAAAATGTAGAGTAATGTGGCATCATAAATTTTTCTCTGATAGAGGATATTGTAATCCTAATACTCCAAAATTAATAAGACGAATACGTAAGGGAGGGGGCCACACTTTTGAATACAATATTAATTCATATACTTATGCTAGTTTTAATTGGACTCATGTAATGTTTTATACTTTTGATGAAGAACTAAAAAGATATAGAAAAATATTACCAAAAAATTTAGAACAATTTCTTACACCACAAGCATTAGCTGTGTGATTTTTGGATGATGGATCCAAAACACATGAATCAATAAGAATTGCTACAAACAATTTTACTAAAGAAGAAATAGAAAGACTGTGTTTAATATTTAAAAAAATATATAAGATTAAAGCTTCTGTACAATCTGGTGGTAAATCTAAAATTTGACATCTCTTATATATTTATAAGAGATGTCAAATATTAGTAAAATAGTAAAACAATTCATGCTTCTTTCATTATAAATTAGGGAATTGTCTAAGGGGTTTAATTGTTTTACTATATTACATCATAGTAAAACAATTAAAACCCTTAGACAATTGTAATGAAGAATAATGAGGAAACTTGTATAATAAAAATAAACCTTGTTAATATATGTAAAATTGTTTTGCGACGTAATTGAAAACGGTCAATTAACCTAATTTTGTTTATAGACCGTCGGCTGCATTACAAGTCGCTATCGACTAGTCCAATAACGGGTGCCTGAAATGGTGCTCAATGTATAGTCATAATCTTCACTAAGATTATTTAGTGCCAAGGCTTACGTAAAACCATAGGTAGTAAAAGTACAGATTTTAATAGAAAATATTCTTATTTTAAAAATTTAAACTCTGTCATTATAGACGATTAGCTTATATTCAATTTTTTTTATAATTCTACTCTAAGATTTGGTTGGAGTATGTTCATATATATTAGTAAATTTTTGGTATAAAAGGATACAAGCTAATAAAGCGGCAATGAAAGCATTAATAGTGAACCGGGTAGGGGATTGGAGTTTAACTTTAGGGATGATATTAATCTGGTGGATCTTTGGGGATCTAGAGATATCGACAATATTAAGTCTATCCCGGTTTATAGATGTAGAGTGAATTACGATAGTAACCATATTAGTATTAATTGGGGCGATGGCGAAATCAGCACAGTTAGGCCTTCACACCTGATTGCCGGATGCAATGGAAGGCCCGACTCCAGTTTCAGCATTAATTCATGCTGCAACAATGGTAACGGCAGGAGTATATTTATTAATAAGATTATCGCCATTAATAGAGTATAGTAGCACAGGGTTACTAATAATAAGTTGGGTGGGTGGTTTAACTGCAATATTTGCGGCAAGCATAGCCACTTTCCAAAATGATCTAAAAAGAGTAATAGCTTATTCAACCTGTAGCCAGCTTGGATGGAATCCGCTTATGAATAATACGACGTCAGGTAATCGAGTGAGTAAGTGTTTAATGTTACCTATTTTACTTAAACGTAGTTATTCAGATAAATCAAATAACCCTCCTGAAGAAACTTTTGAGTTAGAAATTGAAAGTATAATAAAAAAAATTAATAAGGCTTCCAAAAAAATCAGAATATGTAGATAAAATAAAAGATGTTACCCTTTCTAATCAATATACTATAAAATCTAAATATAGAAATGAGAAAATTATATATCTATGGTATAATACGATAACAAAACGAAGTTATGTTGGTAGTACTAATAATTTTTGGAATAGATTTAATAAATATTTTAATACAAAATATATTTTTGATTTAAAAGATAAAATGGCTATTTGTGGAGCTATAGATAAATATGGCTATTCTGGTTTTCATTTATATATATTAGAAATACTTAGCGAAGATTCGAGTAAAAAAGATATATTAGAAAAAGAAGATTTTTGGGCTAAAAAAATAAAACCTAGTTATAATATATTAGATATACTTAAACCTTTTTATGGGGAGAATCACCCTAAATTTGGTAAAATAGTATCTTTAGAAGTGCGAGCTAAGATAAGTGCATCTTTAAAAGGAAGGAAAGCATCTGAACAAACTAAATTAAATATGGCTAAAGGATCTAAGAGTAGTATACTGCTATGATTTTGACACTAAGTTATATGTAACTGAGTTTGAAAGTTTAAGAGAGATGAGTAGGCAATTCAATTTGTCTAGTACTATAATTATAAGTAGAAGGATAGTGTCGGGTAAACCACTTGAAAGAATATATAAGGGTACAAAGGTAAATTGGTTTGTAACTTATAATAAAATTGTATAATTCATATCTATGGGTAGGTAATATGTGTCCAAGTAAAATTTCACTTAATATTAAGAAGCATTAATAGGGAAGATCCTTAGAGACTAAAAGTGAAAAATTTGAGAAGAAATAGTCCAAAATATAAATTTTTATATAATGATATGGTGTTAGCAGTGGGTATGAGTCAATATACATTAAGTGCCTATCATTTAGTAAATCATGCTTATTTCAAAGCATTATTATTTTTGTCCGCCGGAGCAGTAATTCATAGTCTTTCAGATGAATAGTAACTTGTTCTAATATCATCTAACTCCGGGCAATTCCTAAAGCTTAAGCTACAGCCAGTAAAAACGTAACTCTTGAAAGTAGGGTAGACTAATCATCTATCTATGGGTTAATACCCGATGTAACAAGGCTTAAGATGATCGAAAGAGAAATGGATCTTCACGGAACTAAATTCCTTGATTTAACCAACCGGTTGAACTGCAAGTGCATCCCCATTGGGAAATAAAGGATAAAAGCGCATCGACTATATGGTGGTAGTGTCTACATGGGATTAACGACCCCGAATAAAATTGAGTAAGTTACTCATGAGTGTAGAATTAAGATAGAGTCAGGCCCCTTACGAAAGTATGAGCAATCTACATCCACTTGTGTTGTAGATTTCAATGCGGTGAGATTGGAGCTAAGTAAGCTCTCGATCAAGCTGTGAGGATAAAAGTTAAATGTAGCTAAAGTATTAATATATAAAAAAATAACTTCATTAAAAAAAACCAATAGGGAAACATCAATTTATGAAACTAGGGTAAAAGGGAGAAAATATTCTTCTATAACTAATGTATTAAAATTTAGACCCACAAGGGTATATTTCTGGTTTTACCGATGCTGAGGGCTGTTTTAATATGATAGTATCTAAAAGTACTTCAGCTAGTTTAGGTTGAAGAGTACAAGCTAGATTTATAATTGAATTACACATTAAGGATATAACTTTACTTGAGATTATAAATTCTTATTTTGGAGGGATAGGAAAGATATCAATCCCTACAAACCGGAAATCAGCCAGATTAACAATAGTTAATTTGAAGGATATTGTTAATATAATTATTCCACATTTTGAAAGATATCCTTTACAAAGCGCAAAGAAAATCGATTTTGAATTATGGAAACAATGTGTAAATCTTATGGTGGATGGAAAGCATTTAACGGTAGGATTAGAAAAAATAGTTTCTATTAAAGCAGCTATAAATCTTGGATTATCTGATCAATTAAGCCTTCCCTTCACAAAGGATAGTCAGACCACTTTATATTTCTAGTCCTGAACTTTTACACCCAGATTGGGTTACTGGATTTATTGAAGGTGATGGTTCTTTTTATGTAAGGTTAATCCCTCAACCTAAACGAGTAGGAGTGACAGCTTTTTTATCTATAGCCCTTAATCAAAGGGATAAATTTATTTTATTTAAAATTCAACAATATTTTAAAGGGATAGGTTCAATTAGTTGAAAGATGTCAAATACAGTAGTGGAATGAAAAGTATTTAAATTTTCTCAGATAATTTCTGTCACTTTACATTTTCATAGTTATCCTTGTATTGGGAAAAAACATCTTAATTTTATCATTTGGGGTTGTAACTTTAATGGGGAGAACATCTTACTCCAGAAGGTTTAGTTAAGATAAAAACTTTAGTAGATGAATTAAATAAGATTAATAATAATTTTTTTACCATGCTAAATTAATTTTGACAACCGCAGGACATGAGGAGGCATGGAGGGTTAATAAATATATTACCTTTCACCTATATATGTATATTAATAGGTTCGTTAAGTTTATTAGCCACGCCTTACTTAACAGGGTTTTATTCAAAAGATTTAATCTTAGAAGTAGCCTATGGGCAATATAATAGTCAAGGAAGTATAGGATATTGGTTAGGGACAATAACGGCGTGTATAACCTCTTTTTATTCGTTTAGATTAATATATTTAACTTTTATATCAAAAACTAATGGGGTGAGATCAAATTATTTAAACGGACATGAACCTTCAATAATAATGACAACGCCTTTAGTCATATTAAGTTTATTCTCCATCGTCCATGGTTATTTAGCTAGTGATGCATATATAGGATTAGGTAGTGGATTATGGGGTGATGGAAGTATATTAATTACACCAGATAATCTAACCACCATAGAAGGTGAATTTGGTTTACCTTTACAGAATAAGTTATTGCCTTTATTTGGGAGTTTAATGTTTATAATATTAGGTATAGGACTAATATATACCGAAGGGGGACGAGTGAGCTCGGTGAGAGGGATAAAAATATATAGATTTTTCAATGAAAGATATCATATCGATAATATATATAATAGTTTAATAGTCTCTAATATCTTAAAATTAGCCAGAATAACAAGTAAAAGATTAGATAAAGGAATCTTGGAATTAATCGGTGTTACCGCCATTATAAGAGTAGTTAATAATATATCTTCTAAATTAGCTTCCTTTGATAATGGTTATATACCTCATTTAGCTTTAAATATAATAATTGGTTTAATTTTAGCATTATCACTCGCCGAGGGGCTTTACCCTGGAAAGAATTTAATCTTAATCTTAATATTAACTCTGTCGAATAATTCATCATTAAACCGTCATTAAGGAAAATAATATTCTCAATGGTATTAGCGGGGGATATGGTAGAATTAGATATAGCGGATGCTAATTCATATTCTCCTTACCCAAAGGAGGAACTTAAGTATGACGTTGGGGTCGCTGCGGATATAATATATAATGTATCCATAGGGATAGCAATTAGTGTGGGGGTTTAAGCCGTATTAGGCACCCAGTGAAGAGTTTAATACGCCTCGGGGGCACTGTCAGCGGGTTTGCGGTTTGTGCTAGTTTAATCGCAGGGGCGACTAAATTAGCACACTATGAGCTAAATAAGAGGATAGACTCTATACCTGACAACCATCCCATTGGTGACCCACCTTCACCTTCATGGGGTAATCTGTATTTTGAATTCCATTCAAAATATATTCTGTTAGGATCTGATGTAATGGAGTATATTTCGGGTTTAGATATTTCCAAGCTAAGTTTTATATATTAATGTTTATATTATTAGCAATATATTTTCAAATATTAAAATATATAAAAAATAATATAAATAATCTCAACCGTATAACAATTGAAAATGAATATTTTAAAATATTCATAAAAGTAAAAAACATCTTGAATAAAGGTGCTAACATAATACATAACCTTCTCACAGGGTTTTCCCTATTTATTGCCTTCTTAGGCTTTGTTTCCTTGGTTTTTTGATTTAAAATATTCCCCCCTCACCTCCCGGAAGGCTCTGTCGAGCCTCCGGGTGAGGGGGGGCGCGAGGGGTAGAGTCATTTTTGTATTAGTACCGGGCGGGATAATAGCTTGGTCAAGATACCGGTAATAAACTGGTTTCCTCGCGAACTACTAGGGTCTGATTCCCAAACGGGATAAGTAGGCAACGTGGCTCTTCCTCACACCCGACCGGGTATTGATGAGAGAGAATTAATTGCAGAGGTTAGATAAGTGTATTAGGTAAACCTTGGTAGGGAATGATAAATTTATATACCATTAGTCAAGGATCTAGCCGTGTAATGCCCTGGGATCTTGGAGGATCTCTCCTCGCCTCTTCGCCCCCCCTCACGATATGTTCATATAGTGAGGGGGGGCGATGCGAGGACAAGCGAGGTAGAGGCAGGGGAAAGGGTCGGCTGACTATTTAACTGAGGGGAGGGGGTTCCAGAAATGGAATAATAATAATATGGGGCCTATTAAGATGTCAGATAAAAACTATGAAAGTCTACCTCATCTTAGGTTAGGGAGGGCGAAGATGGGGAAATTAGCTTAATAGGAAGAGCGAATATCTTACACGTATTTGGAGGTTGTTCGAATCAACCATTTCCCAGGGAAGTATGCTAATTGGTATAGCGATCTAATTGTAAATTAGATGACATGGTCATTATAGGTTCGAGTCCTATACTTCTCACCCAGGATAATAGCTTAATTGGTAAAGCATACCGCTCATAACGGTAAAAATATTGGTTCAATTCCAGTTTATCCTAGGTTTAATAGCCTAAAGGTAAGGTAGAAGCTTGCTAAGCTTTGGATGAAATTCATTCTTTAAGGTTCGAGTCCTTATTAAACCGAAAAACATAATAAGGGCTAAGATATCCCCCCATAATATAAGAGGTGACTAGGTTTCAAACGGGGGAATAGGAGTAAAAAAAACGAGAGATAGGGTGTGTTGCTAGGATAAGGTCTTATTGGCCAATACCTCACTTTTCTGATAATTGGCATAGGTTAACTTTATAATAATATTAATAAGTTTAGGGAGGGGTGAATATAAACGGTAGAATGGGGTGGCAATTAAGCCGCCTATTCGTAATAATAAGATGAACTATCTTGAATTTAACCCATATATGAGTTCGTTGGGGGGGGGGGGGGGGAATCAAACCGTAGTTCTTTAACTTAAACCTAAGCCTCCTACTCTGCAAAATAGACCTATTTTCACGTGCAACCCCGAAGGGGGGATAGAGTACCCTCTCAATACTAAATTCGAATGACGGTTTTATTTGAACGTCGTAAGCTAAATGATAGGATCGATTCTTTATTACTATGTCCGGGTCATTCTCTAATTATGAGCTAGTGGGCTGCATTAGCCAATATCCTGCCCAAGCTCTATAATATAATCACTTGAAAGTGTATACATGTTCTTCCCTCTACCGAGTGGGAAGGTCTGATCCGTGGACTCCTTTCAACATTGTAGTAAAACATGCATTCATTATATAATCCCCCTTCGCCGGCCCGGGAACTGAAACGCAGTGTAGTCTCCGCATCATATCTCTTTTTGTCCTGCCACGCCTCCTATTCCCCCCCGGGCTCACCTTGCCTTCCTATCGCTTTTACGAAGAGATCGGGAGTTCTGCTATATTTAGGCTAACTTATTTTTGCATTATTATCTCATGTTCCATTCCACCATTCGAATACGTCTACTTATATCTCATATATTCAACACTGCCTATACTTCACCTGACGGTTCAACTATGTCGTCCAGGCGAGGCATCGGAAGGCCTCGGGTGGGACGTGCTAATCTAGCCTCACAAGTTTCAATTAATTGAAACAAATGGTCTAGATCTGCGCAGTTAGTGATTTGCAACTTCATGGAAGTAAAACCCACGACTCATCGAAGTCTGCACTTGAACTATCGGGGGGTTTATTCCTAGCCTATCTGGGTGGCCCCCCCCTCACGATATGAACATATCGTGAGGGGGCCCCTCACGATATGTTCATATCGTGAGGGGGGGGGTACCGCCTTCGTAGGCTAGGGGCTAGGGGCCGCCCCCCTCACCTCCCGGAAGGCTCTGTCGAGCCTCCGGGTGAGGGGGGGTCTACCGTCCGTGGGGAGGGGGGTCCGGCATCCACCGGGCCCCCCTCGGCGCTATCAGGGTCATCCACAACTAGACTACCGGCAGAGAACGGCTATCGGCATCGGTCTCGCAATCTTATGGCGGCCACAGCGCTAAGTCGCTCTACCATATCACTCCGTTCTCTACTCCAGCCGCACTCGCCCTAGTCGGGACCGGCTAACTCGTTTTCGAGTTTACAGCCTTCATCGATTGAGGTCCATTAAACTCCCTACTTCCTTCAACCGGGGGTAATAAATAATATTGTTATGGATCGGTTTCAATCGTTATATATCGCCATTTTATTCCTCTTCGTCGTCATGGGTGGTTATCCCCCTTGGGTTCCACTCTACAGGAAAAAACCTCCCCAAATGAACCGTTAGGTCTATCCCGCCCTTGTATAATTAGCCGATAGTCAAGTTTATAGATATGTCTATCTAGACACGACGACGGGCCAAGGTGTCAAGTTGTAGTATAACCTCACCCCTAGATACGGAAGAAGAGAGAGGATACGATTGTCGGGGGGACGGGTCCTACTTAGGTTGAGGGGAGAGCGAGTGGTAGGTCTACCTAAGTCACGGGCGTGTACTGCTAGCCATCGTCTAAAAAAGGGAGCGCGGGCCCCCCTCACCTCCCGGAAGGATGGCGTTGAGCCATCCTCCGGGAAGGTGAGGGGGGAGGTCGTGGAGTGAAACGATAAACCGATTAAGTCACGAAGTGAGATAGGGGCGACCCTTCCCTTAGCCATGGTGGTCAATTTTGTCCCCCCAGACAACCAGGGGGTGAACCCCCTCCCGGCGGGGGTCTCGAAGCCATAGGCAGATCTTGATCTGACGTGACCTTTTAGCAGATGAACCTGTAATGGGGGCTCCTAACGCCCCTATACCAAGGGAAGGGAGCTTAGTACTTGAATGAATTTAGATCCTGATCTGGAGATGGACGTGTTGTTGGGCAAGCCTGCTTCCTCCTGATCGGGCCCGAGGAGCCGGGACGGCCGGGGGGCGACCATGACGTAGGAAGGGAGGAGCCTTGCCTGTAGCGGATAGCCCCCCATGGAGAAGAGAAAGAGCCGGACCCGATGCCGATAGCCTAGCCTGATTGTGGATCCGCCAGACCGGATGAGCCTAGGCGGGATCCGGATATTGAGCGATATAACCTTGGTTATAAAGCGTGTACTGGACTAGAATAAGTCCAGATCGGTAGAAGGTACCTGACGTCGCGAAGCGTAGGACAATGATCCTAGTTTATAACGAAGGGACCTGCAGATGGGGAGATTAGCCAATAAGAAGGAAGTGCTTGAATGAGATAGGCACTATCCTAACTAGCCAATACAATGTAGCCAGACAAAACCTGGCCACACAAAGGGATCCTCCTCTGACCCAAGAGAATGACGTGTGGATCATGAGAGGATAGAGTAGAACGTGTTTTACCTCTTTATTAGGTCTAATAAGCTGGATCTGACGCTATTATAGTTTAGGAACCGTATCTAGGGGATCAGTGAGGGCCTAACCATAGTGGGAGAGTAGGCCACATGGAAAAGCAATTAGAGGATCTGACTGAGGCTAGAGGAGGATGGATGCCGATCGTCATTAGCCAAGAGACTAGGGAATAAATACCGCCAATGCTCGGGGGGGGGGGGATTCGCCTATACATTCTTGGCAAACTGGCTCGAGGGGGCGATAGGGGGGGTAGGCTATAATTATTATTGGTAATAATGGCTATCATTATATTAGACAACTGGCCCATTCAACGGATTTTAATATCCTATTAAAAGATTTAATAATCTTTAGGATATTTTAAATCCTAGTGGCGCCCATTGCAATACCAAACCGGGACCCCCCTAGTTAGGCAATGATGGAGGATGCTAAAACCTCACGACATGGTGGACGATTACTAGCCAAACAAGAAAAACAACCTCCCCCCCTCCCCTCGCCGGGATGGTTACCCTCCATTGGGTGACGACAGTCACTATAAGAGAAGAGAAGAACTTGCCTCGCCTCCCCCGTCCCGCCCCTCGCTCGCTTGCCCTCGCTTGCCCTCGCTTGCCTCGCGCCCCCCCTCCGGGGGGGGGGGCGAGGGTGGGGTAGGGTGCCGGGCCCATCTTCCTTTCTTACTGTGGGCTCTCGCCCAACCCAATGGTTTTTGTCAAACCGGGTCCCTCTATTACAAAGAAATAATTAATAATTAAAAAATTATAAAAAGTTAGCGGGGGGGGGGGGGGGTCAATTTGTGTCCTGTTCTCGCCCTCGCCTCGCCTCGCCCGCGCCGGGGCGGGGGAGTGGGGTTTTCCATGTCTTATCGATCTCAGTTTTATCTTATATTCC